AGTTTGTGGACAGCTAGATCTGGGTTGATGCTTGGCATCTCGTCCACTTCAAAGGCAAAGATGTCTTTGAACTCTTTCAATAGGTTGTGCAGGTTAGCACCCAATTTAGCAAAAGCAGCCATCCCCACCTTAACCAGTACGTTCCGGACGAGTGTCATCCAGAACAATGTCAACGTGCTCACCAGCCGGCTGGGGATGGAGTTCATCCGGTCGTTCTCCGGTCAGTGATTTCTATTGCGTTTCTTTTTTTCACGGCCATCAACTTGTTAGCCTTTCACCTTTTGCCGCCTGCTATGGAAGAAGGCGCGGCTTCTTTGACTTTGTCAAGATCTATAGTTTCTCCACTGGGGCCGGATGCGACCACAGTGGGTTTGACGTTAGAGAGATAGCACTCCCTAGCCGTCTTTTGGTCTCCCCTTAGGGAGCCGACTGTTCCATCATCCCTTTTAAACTTGAGAAGCATAAGGGAAGGGATGATAATAGCTTAGGATTCATTTAGGGTGGGACGACCCAAAATCATGTTATAGGCGGTCAGCTCTTTAACAACTAAGAACCAAACCACCAAGTGGCGTCCCTCTCCCTTTTCTCCCAGCCGAATGGGCAAGTCTATTCGACCTATCGGATGCACAACTCCACCCCCAAATCCCACTAAGGGATAATAGACCTTGTGCATGCTCTCAAGCTTGTACTTGAGCTTGGTCAGGCACTTGTGGCTGATGAGATCAGAGGAACTGCCGGTGTTTATGAGGATTCGGCCCACCTTTTGGTTAGCCACTTTGCATTTGATGACAATGGGTTCATCATGCGGCCTCCTAACATTGCCCCTGTCTCCCTCAGAGATGAAAACTTCAGGGAAAGTGTCCGTAGACGTCTGTCCCTCATCAACTGAGCTGACATCTAGCCACCTGACGTAGTCTTTGGTCCCCCGAGTAGTTGGACCGCCTCCAGCATAGCCGCCTGCTATTGTATAGATATGTTCTTCGTCAATATCAAAACTATTAGCACGTTGAGACTTTTTCTTGGACGAATGCCCTGGGTTAGTTTGCAGGGTAACCTTGGACCTCAGAATGTAGGACTTAAGAACTTCTTTGTCAGCCAGATGATCTAACAGCCGCCTGAGACTATAGCAGTCATTGGTGTCATGGTCGATGTCCTCATGAAAATGACAGTACTTATTTTTATCCGATTTTTGGCGGAACCTTTCTTAGCAGCCGGCTTCTCAATGGTCACCCGGTCTTTAATCTCCATGAGGATGGAGTGACAATCCTTGTTAAACTCATACTTGGGGGTGTATGGTTCAAATTCTTTCTTTTTCTTCTTAGACAGTTGTTCAGAGGTATCAGCCACCCATACATCTTTTCTTTTCTTTTCTTCTTTCTTAGTCGGTTGTGATGACCGACTCTCTCTTTTTTCGGACTTCTTTGAGTCTGACTGTTTACTAACGTGGCACAGCTAGGTCGCTTGTATATAGGCGTCTGCCTCCATCAGTGCTTCTTGAAGAGTGGCAACCCTCTTTCTGACAAGGTTGAACTTGAAGGCCAACCCGTCCTTTAGACCTTTGAAAAAGTCTGTGTAGGCCACTTCTTCCAACAGTCCTTGAATCTAAATTCTCATCAGATTGAACCACCTCATATATGACCGAAGGCCTTCTTTCTCTCCCTGCTGAATTGCACCCAAGTCAAGACTTGTTTTCTTTGTAGGGATGTTCATTGAGAAGTTGGACGCAAACAAATATGAAAGCGTCTTAAAGTTATTTATGCATCCGGCTAGCAGGTTGTCGAACCATTGTTGGGCGACACCCTTTAATGTGGTCGGGAAGCATCTACACCATGCGGCATCATCCAACCTTGAAGATACAAAAGGTTGGTGTATGCCATAAGATGATATTTTGGGTTGGTGGTACCGTCATAGTACCTACCAACACATTTTTCACCTTGGCCGGTTGGGCAGCTTCAGTTATTTCCTTGGAAAACGCAAAGGGCTATTCCCCCAGTCTTAGCAGTCGGAGTTGCCAGTCCAACGGTTGGACATTATGTGGCGCCTGTCCCCCGAAGAAAGTCGGCTGCATGTAATGTTGTCCATATGGCATGTATGGCTCTTGAGATGCATACGGGGTTGCTTGGAGCGTCTAAGGACTACAGTGGGCGGACATGCCGCTTATCTGGTTATCTCGATTTGATTGTGAATACCTCATTAAGGTTTTCTAAAAGCTGTCTTGCAAGTTTGAAGTTGAAGCCAACTCTAACAGTTGCATGTTCTTCTTCTACTGGATTAACATCCGGGCATCAGAATAAGTTTTCTTTGAACCATCTGGCTGTACATGCCGAATGGCCTTCCCTTTCCCTGGCTCAGGGAACCGGAGTTTAGCCAAATTTATAAAGGGCCTCTACCCCTCCCTAGGTTTAGGGTAAGGAGTGGCCTCTCGGTCTTTGACCAGCTTATTCCTCCCAGAATGTGATGGCTTCTTGGCCGACTGTTCCCTGGTGGAAACAGCCATCTGTTTATCAATTTGGTCCTTAATCTCCCCTTTGAAACTTGTCATGAGAGTCATGAGCTCGTTTCTGGTGATAAGGATAGAGCCTTCAGCCACCTAGGGTTGACCAGTCGACTGGTCGACTTGTTCATTAGGGCCTGCCTGTTCGTCATTCCGTTCCGTCCTTTCGATGGGACGGATGCGCCTAGTTCTTAGGGACCCGTCAGGGGCCGTGTGTGTGTCGACTTCATAGTCGTCATCTTTATCCTGGTCTATATAGACCTGGACGTCGGCCGTAGGCCATAGGCCGTTTCTCATTCAGAGGCGGTACAGGTTCTTGTGAAGCCATCTTAGAAGTACTCACCCCACAGATGGCCCCAAATATTTCGGGGTTTTTTAGATGTCCTGCAGGAGAGTTACAACACCAAGATTGGCTTCTGGACGCCTGTACCTGCAGCACAACGGAGACTCCTGTGGGTAGGATTTCCGCCTCCGACGATCAAGTTAGAACGTGTTCGGATATAAAAAGTGCGTAATGTAAAGGAGATCAGGCTCCTCTTAGGAGAGAAGTGATCATCCGGCTATCTGAGATAACCTCGAAATCCGATCCTTAGCTCTCAAGTAATGTAATTAAAGCTAGAGTTAATGCTCAACAATTAATGTACACGTGTGTTTAACAATTTCTAAATGATGTTCCTCAGGGGGAACATCTCCATTCTATAGGGTCTAGAAATGCGTGCCTAGTACTAGGTTTCAAAAACCTAGGACGGACTGGGCTTGCCTAGGAATTTGGGTTGTTTAAGGCCACTTTCCTTGTTGGCAATCTGTCTGCCACATGTCGTGGCCTGATTGGTCTACCTTGGACCTCTGATGAGGTGACACGCGGCGGACTCTGGTAGGTCCACGTGGATGACACGTAATAGAATTTAATTGGTCCACGTGGCGGGTTAAATCCCCTAATTAATAAGCAAATTGGAGGGAAATTTTTCATGATAAAATGACATGTGTACAAAGGTGATGTAAGTGGTTTTTTCTTTAGTTATAATTATAGATTTATTGTTTAACATCAATTCAAAATAAATTATTCAAAATGACAAGTACAACTACAAGGCAACACCATTGGTCCATTACAACAATAACTCCATGTACTAAATATCATTCCATAATCATACCTTCTTAATTCTAAAATTCAGTTTTCGGTTTAGTTTTTGGATCCAATTAGGGTCAATCCGATTCAATCCAAAAATCCGAATTTTCAAAAAAATTCTGATCCGATTTAAAATTCGGATCCAATCTGAATTGATTATTCGGTTTGAATTGAATTGGATCTCGGATTTGATCTGAATTATGAACACCCCTAACAGACAATATTAGAAGAATAAGAGGAGGGAAAGAAGAAGAAAAAAAAACTATATAAAAAAAATGACAAAATCAAATTCAAGAAAAAATATATATACAAACCAAAGGGGGAAAAAAAAAACAAAAACAAAAACAAAAATTGAAAAAAATAATCTAATGTAGTCCTTCCTTTCTCTTTTCCTTATTTTCCGGTGAATTGCTATCACAACTACTCCACCCAAAATGGAACCATAAATACATATGACCATATGGATGGCCATTACAAATCTCTACTTTTTAATTTTTATTTATTTTATTTTGCTTTCCAAATATTTCAAAACATAAGTATGCACTCCAAATATTTTTGTCTCAATGCAATTTTGTCGACAAATTTTCAAATTTTTAATTTTGGTGGATTAGTTAGAAACCGTAAGAAGACTAAGAACTTTGATGCTACGGAATGAAAATTTTAATTTTTTTGGCACAATTTGTTTCATTGTTTGCACCAATTTTTTAATTTGTTTGTCCTTTAATTTTAATTGTGTTGCATATTACAAATGTTTGTAAGATTTTACAACTTTACTTTTATAAATACCCACCATATATGATCCCACTAAATTACTATACCTCCGAACTAACTTTAAAATAGTATCTTCAATTAAATGTGAAAAAAAAAGAGAGAGGGAGAGAGAATGAAATAAATAAATTTATTAAATAAATAGATAATTGAAGAGGTTACGACCTAATGACAAAGACTGGGGGCATGTGTGGATCTACAATGAGACCTATGTGGAATAGGCCGCACCATTTTTAATAAAAATTATATACGTAAGGTAAAATTTGATAGTTTAATTACAATTACAATGCAATTAATAAATGACATTAGACTGGCTTTGTTTCAATGGTAATGCACTTACCATGAACCTTTGGTGTTAACCTCTTAGTTCAATAGTACAACCATTTTACTTCTTTGTAATGGTTTGAATTAGTGTCTTTCATTTGTAATTTGTATTGCTCTTGTGACTCATTTGCACAGATAAAGATACCCAAATATGAACAATGTATAGATCGAAAGAACTATCATCTTGAATGAATTGATAATTAGAGATATTTACGGATAAATTAATAAATTGTCAAACGTGATACAAGAAATATGTCAACTAATTTGAAATGGACGAAGTCTTATTTAACACCTGCTGCAGCCACTCATAAACATGATATTATGTACTACATCAAAATATATAGTGTAATTACATATTAAAAAGCAGTTGCAAGCTCTTTCAAAGAATGAAACATCTAACTATATATAGAAGAAGTACCTTTATAATATATAATCATGCATTAATTAATAATCTTATTGGAAGTTAAAGCTAGCTATTACTAAAACAGTGAATATCCCAAGTCAAGCATATCATCAGAATAAGGTGCACTACTAAAACCAGCACAAGGCATTGTAAAATAAGAACTTGCTGCTGGTAATTCTTCAATCACAGGATATAAGCCTTCCATCATGCAACCTTCTTCCATCATTAATGGATGATTAATTATCGCGGCGAGGTCGTCGCAGTAATCACTAAAATTACTGCTAATCTCCAATGACAAGTTACCACTTATGCTTTCTTCATTAGTATTGCTTAAAGATGAGAATGAATAATGATCTTGAGGATCATACGACGACGACGACATTGGGTACTCTACATTATTGTTAGTGATAGAGTTATGATCAGTGTTTTTAACAATGGTACTTATTATTGGAGGGTCGTTTTCGGACGGAGCTGGTCTTAAGCAATTTTCTGGTACAATGCAACCCAAGTAACCAGAGTTATCATCAGTGCTATTGAAGCTAAAATCATTATGTTTTGGGGATGTATAATGCGTATTATTAGTGTAGGTGTCGATTTTCCACTTGGCCGAGGCAGTATGGAGTGGTGGTGGTGGTGGTGGAGTGGTGGGAGCAATATTATTAGTTGTAGTAAAAGTGGAAGGTTTAGGAAGAGGAGGAGAAAGAGAGAAGAAATGATTAGCAGAAGGTAAAAGAGAAGGACCGTCAAAAGGTGAAAGAAGAGGGAAAAAAGGGGTGGTTTCAGAGTAAATGAAATTAGTTCTAGCTTGAGTACCCTTCATTGAAAGGGCAGCTCTATCATAAGCAAGAGCAGCTTCATGAGCAGTATCAAAGGTACCTAACCAATGTCGTTCTTTAGTAGTTGGGTCTCTAATCTCGGCTGCGTATCGACCCCATGGCCGTCTCCTTACTCCTAGAAACCGGCCGGGTTCGGCCTGCTTTCGCCGTCCTCTCCTCTCATTAGTCTGAGATATAGAGGTGTTCCTTTGAAGGAATGGGAAGAGCATTGAAGCAGAGCATATTTGTTGTTGTTGAAAGGCTGGTTTCATGGATGTTTTTTGTGGGGTGTTTGTTGTTGACATTTTGTGAAGTTATTTAGTTTTGTTTTGGGAATGAGGAAGATTGTGTAAGTTTGGAAGGCTATATAAAGGGAGGAAAAAGGTGATCATGAGAAGGAAAAGGACAATACAAAAAAGATGGAATTATGTCATTTAATTGATGATCAACCATTTTGTGAGTCTACTGTCTAGATTCTAAAATTCTCTTCATCACAAACCAACCGCATCTATTTACTTATACCATACATTGATACATTTATTATACGAAGGCCTTGCTTGTTAAATAAGTAGATTTTAGTTATTAGATATAAAAGGTTACTTTATATTGATTGGTTTATTTAGATGATTACATTAACCGTTTCATCTAAGGGTTTGTTTGTTTGGTATTACTCCGTATTCAATTTCATCATTTTTTTAAAATTTTATTTCCAAAATAAATTTTATAAAATAAGTTCAGAAAAAATTAATTTCATTAAAATAAGTTCATATATTAAAATAATACAGAGTATAAAACAAAATAAAAGATAGTAAGTTTAGATAAAATGAAATTTAATAAGTTCAGAACAAACCAAGTAAGTTCAGAAAAAATAAAATGAGAAATAAATCAGCGTGTTTTGTGTACGGCAGGCCACACCTTGTGGCCGCTTGTAAAAGAATAATGTAACCCCTATAAAACTGACCGAGTACCCTTGTAATACTGACCGAGTACTCCTATAATATTGACCGATTAATCCTTTTAACATTAATTGAGTTGTCCTTGCAACACTGACCAAATAACCCCTATATATAACACTTACGAAGTAACCCCCAACATGCGTGTGACCAACCACATATAAAATTTTGTAGAAATTCATATAAGTTCACATAAATAAAATAAGTTTAGATAAAATAATAATAATAATAATAATAATAATAATAATAATAATAATAATAATAATAATAATAATAAAAGGTTAATCATATAAAATATGGTTAGATAAATAATTATATATAATAAAAATAAGCTAGATGAACTGAAAAGACCATAAACTCTCCTTTAACAAAAAATTTTAGATAAACAATAATGTATGAAACTAAAGATTCCGGGCTACTCTCAAACCCCTTTAAAAAGAAGATTTACATGTTACACTTTTAGTTTCCATTACCCTGCTGCAGTCACTTTCCTTCAAGTTCCAAAGGAATTTAAACTTTAACTGTATTAGCTTGTCTTCTTTCACAACACCCCCTGCACAAGTAGCTATTCTCTTCATCTCATATAAAGCTACTTCTTAACATGTTATAGTAAAAGAATTACGGGCCGTTTGGTTCGCTGTAATGGGGAAAGTGAATGGAAATAATTACCTTTGTTGGTGTTTGTTTTCCCTCCTTTGTCATTCCCATTTCCCCTTTTTATTTTTGGATCTACCCAAAATCCTCCTAATCCCATTACCCTTCCCCCTACCTTTCCCATTCCGTTCCCCAACCACCACCATACCCTTAGGTTAAACCTTAAACCACCTCGCCGAGACTAGTAGCACCTCGCTGGATGCTCGCCAGCCTTCCCCCGACCCTCGCCGCCCCTCCTCCCACCCGGAAACCCTTTCCCCACCCACGTATAACCCTTAAAAAACCCACCCCTGCACTAGAACAAAAGGTCGCACCTCACCGGACATGGGTTTGGATTTCGGTCGTGGTTTGTGGGGTTACGTGGTTGGGTTTCAGTCGTGGTTCATGGGGTTGCTTGGCTGGGTTTCGGTCTTGGTGGTTCTTGGGGTGGCATGGGTTTGGATTTGGGTTTGTGGAGGTCTGGGTGATGCGCGGCCGGTGGGGTGGCTGGAGAAGGATGCAAAAATGAAGCACGGATGTTGTGGTGGTGCAAAGGTGGTGTAATTCCCTACGCTTTTTTTGTAAACAAACAATATGCTTAATTTTGAGGGTTTCATTCTAATTAAATTAGGGGATTGTTACCCTGTCACGTGGACCAATCAGGGTTTGCCACGTGGACCAATCAGAGTCTGCCACGTGTCATCCTAAGGAGAGCCCAAAGTGGACCTACCAGGACACGACATGTGGAAGACATATATTTGGCAGCTTTCAAGGCCCAAATCCCCAGGCAGCCCGTCAGTCCTAGGTTTCTTAACCTAGGATGGGCACGCATTTCGAGACCCTATAAAAGGGAGATGTTTCCTTAAAGGAAACACAACATTGAATACAACAAAAAAGCATTAACTGCAACATTCATTACCCTTGAGAGTTTACACTCCGATATTGAGGTTGTCTGAGATATCGGGATAATCATTTCTCTCTAAAGTGAAGCTGGTCTCATTTACATTTCGCATTTTTTACATTCGAACACGTTCTAACTTGATCGTCGGAGGCGGAACTCCACCCAACCAGAGTCTCCGTTGTTTAGCAGGTACAGGCGCCCGGAGCCCATTCTTAGAATTGTAACTCTCCCGCAAGACACTAAAAAACCCCGAAACATTTGGCACCGTCTGTGGGGAGAGTACTTCTAAGATGGCTTCACAAGAACCTGTACCGTCCCCTAATGAGAAACGGCATATGGCCGACTTCGAGGTCTATACAGACCAAGACAGTGGTGACGACATTGATGTCGAAACCTATGTAGCTGCTGACGATTCACTCGATCAGAACCAGGCGCACCCATCCTTTAGAAATAAGGGAACGGGGCACAAGTCAAGCTGATCCAAGCGAGCCAACCAAACAGCCGTCTGGGCATCACCAGACGGTAGAAGGCACAACCCCCGTTACTCGGAACGAACTCATGGAATTCATGACAAGTTTCAAAGGGGAAATTAAAGACTTGATCAGCAGTTAGACGGTTGTCTCCAACAAGGAACAATCGGCCAAGAAATCTCCTTCCTCAAAGAAGAAGAAATCAGTCAAGGACCGTGTGCCTAATCCTTATTCTAAGCCAAAGGACGGGGACTGGCCCTTGATTGATCTTTCTAAAATCCGCTTCCCTGAAACAGAGAAGAGGAAGCCCATTTGGCATGTTCAGCCGGATGGCTCAAAATAGACGTATTTTGATGCCCGGATGTTAATCCAGCAAAAGAAGAGTCAACAAATGTTTGAGTCGGCTTCAACGTCGAATTTCTCAGACAGTTTTCAGAATACCTCTATGAGGTATTTTTCATCAAACCGAGAAGGTCAGTCAGGCGGCTTGTCCGTCCACTCTGGCCCTCAGATAATCCATGCGGCTCCGTATTTGCCCTCGCATCCATACATGCCATATGGACAACGATACATGTAGCCGGCCCTCTTTGGAGGGAAGGAGACACAAAATGTCCAACCTTTGGATTGGCAGCTCCGTCTTCTAAAACTAGGGGATCAACCTTCTGCCTTTGCCAAGGAAATAACCGAGGCTGCACAGCCGGCCAACGTTAAAAATGTTCTGGTGGGTGCCTATGATGGTACCACCAACCCAGAAGATCATCTCATGGCATACACCAACCTTATGTATTTACAAGGGTTGGATGATGTGGCATCGTGTCGATGCTTCCCGCCCACATTGAAGGGTGTCGCCCAACGATGGTTCGACAACTTGCCAACCAGATGCATTAACAACTTCAAGACGCTTGCGTACTTGTTTGCATCTAACTTCTCTATGAACATTCCTGCTAAGAAAACAAGTCTTGACTTGGGAGCAATACAACAAGGAGATAGAGAAGGGCTACGGTCATATATCAGGCGGTTCAATCTGATGAGACTACAGATTCAAGGGTTGTCTGATGAAGTGGCCTACACAACCGGAACAAATATAAATATTGCCATTTTCATGAGGACATTGGCCGTGACACTAACAACTGTTATAGTCTCAAACGGTTGTTGGACCGTCTAACAGATAAAGGGGTGCTGAAATCTTACATTTTGAAGTCCAAGGTCACCCTGCAGACTAATCATGGGTAGTCGTCCAAAAAGAAGCCTAAATCTACTAATAGTTCGGACATTGACGAAGAACCGATCTATACAATAGCAGGCGGCTTCGCTGGAGGTGGCCCTACCATCCGGGGCACCCGGAACTACAGTAGGCGGCTAGATGTCAACTCAGTGGATGAGGGGCAGGCGTCTAAGGACACCCTTCCCTGAGGTTATCATCACTGAGAAAGACAGAGGCAAGGTCAATCGACCGCATGATGACCCATTGTCATTGAATGCAAAGTGGCCAACCAAAGGCTAGGCTGAATCCTCATTGACACTGGTAGTTCGTCTGATCTCATCAGCCACAAATGCCTAGCAAAATTGAAATACAAGCCAGGCAGCATGCACAAGGTATCTTATCCCTTAGTAGGTTTAGGGGATGGAGTTGTGCATCTGGTAGGCCGGATAGATTTACCCATCCGCCTAGGGGAGAAGGGAGATGGACGCCACAAGGTAGTCCGGTTTTTAGTCTTTAAAGAGCTGACGGCATATAACATGATATTGGGTCGTCCCACTCTAAATGAATCAAAAGCTGTTATCATCCCATCCCTTATGCTCCTTAAGTTTGAGAAGGTTGATCGGTCTATTGGCTCCGTGAGAAGAGATCAGAAGACGGCTAGAGAGTGCTACCTCTCGGACGTCAAGCCTAATGTGGTCGCATCCGGCCAGGGCAATGAACCAATAGACCTTAACGAAATCAAGGATGTCGCGCCTGCTCTAATAGCAGCCGGCAAGAAAAAGAAAGGTCGACCAGTTGGTTGGCATCAAAAAAGAAAAACAATAGCAATCACTGACCGGGGAACGGTCGAATGAGCACTGTCCCCAGCCAGCTGTTGAACACATTGACATTACTCTAGACGACACACGTCCAGAGCGAACTGTAAAGATTGGGACGGCTGCTTTTGCAAACTTGGGTGCACAATTGCACAATTTGTTGAAAAAATTCAAAGACATTTTTGCCTTTGAAGTGGACGAGATGCTAGGCATAAGTCCGAATCTTGTTGTTCACAAACTTGTTGTGGATCCCAAAAAGAAGTCGGTTAAGCAAAAGAAAAGGAACCATGGCGAGGAAAGAAGTCAAGCGGCATCAGCCGAAGTAAAAAAGTTGTTGGATGATGGATTCACTCGGCAATGTTACTTCCCAGATTGGGTAGCAAATCTTGTGCTTGTCAAGAAGCCGAATGGTACCTGGTGCATGTGTGTGGATTACATAGATTTGAACAAGACATGTCCAAAGGACAGTTATCCTCTTCCAAAGATCGACTATTTGGTCGACTCTATAGCCAGCCA